GGTTAGATATGATAGCACACACAACATCTGTGATCCCAGTGCTGGAAAGTGAAGACAAGGAGAGTCTCTGGGGTTTGCTGGCCAACAAGCCTCGCTGGACTGGTGAACTTGAGGCCATTTCAAATAATCAGATTGAAAATGTGAGAAAGGTTGATGTCATCTGACCACACCTTCTGGCCTTTACACTCATGTACCCACATGAGAGCACACAATAACACACACATACACAGGCACACTTATTTAGGACCTAGGGATATAGATCTGTTAGTACATGTCTTTACCTATCATATTCAAAACTCCGAGTTCAATTCCCAGGACCGCATCTTCTAGGTATAGTGGTACATCCCTGCAATTCCAGCACTCAGGAGGCAGAGGCAGAGGCAGAGCAGTCATCCCCAGATACATAACAAATTTGAGGTTAGCCTGAGATACTTGACACCCTGTATCAATGTAATAAAAAAGTAATAATATCAATAAAAAAGTAAAAGGCACCTAAGAGTAGGTATTGAGTTTCAAACAGACAAACTCTTAACATCGAATTATTAATCCTAGCAAGAACATTTGTCAAGAAACTGTACTGTGACCCTGAAGAGGGGATAATTGGTTGATTGGGTAAAAGTAGCATTCCACGAAACCAAATGTCTAGAAGTCTCTGACTGCATTCTATGAATTAAAAAACTGACCCAATCAGGACAGAATCAAACCTAGTGTAGCTTGGGGCTTTGTTTGATTGTTAGCTTGTTTTTATTATAAAGAAGATGTTGTATAGGTCTCCAGGGGTCACTCCACAGTTCTACAGTGCTGCCCCATCTCAGCAGCAGCGGGAAACATCTGTTCTCCTCCGAAACGGAAGGCTGACCCAAGGAAGGATTCTCTGTTCCATGAGAGAGGCTGATCACCCTAAACACTTGACTTCTTACCACTTAGAATTGTCATGGAAGGTCTAATCAAGGAGACACCAGCTGTCACAGCATCCTAATTGCTGTAGATAATCACGGGCAGCTTAAAGGCGTTGTGTGTGCATGTGAAACAGTCGCTGGGGGCCTGGTTCCCAGGCAAGAACGTGAAAACAGCTGTTCCTCTCCTGTCTAAGCTCTCTGGTTAAGAGAATATGCTATTAGCAGATCAGATGAATCAACTTCTAAACTAAAACTTGTCCTTCTGTAGTTACACAAAGCGAATGCTTGGTTTTAATCAAACCAAATACTGGAGATAGAAAGAACCTCACTTAAGTCAACATATGTGAGTTCATATGTCTCTCTGCATCTGGATGTGTGTGTGACAAAGAAAGAGGGGGAGCGAAGAAGAAGGGCAGCTTTTCGTTAGTTTTAAAGAATTTGTATGATGTTATTAGATTTTTTCTTTTTTTTTTTTACATTTTTGTTTTGGATGTGGATGATAGTTGGGGTCTTACCATAGCACCCATGTGGAAGTCAGAGGCCAACTTTCTTGTCAGTTCTCTCCTTCCATTAAGTGGGTCCTAGGCATAGAACTCAAGTTTTCAGACTTAACAGCAAGCACTCTCACCTCCTGAACCGTTTCAAGGATCCCTTTCATGTTTCTTACACTGGGACTTTGTTGCCTTGCTCACATGTGTGAATTAATAATGTTTCTGACTTTTGGGAAGTGTCCAATAACTATTTAGCAGACATATCTTTTCTTGCCTCCTGAGCCCCATATCTTTACCCACAGTCACGACAAGTACATGTATGTTTGTCCCACAGCCCGCTGACATTCTTATCTTCCTCTGTCATTTTTCTTGTCATTTCCAACCATCTCCATGACTATTCATTTCTACTCATTATTCTCTTTCTCGGCAATGTCTTTTGTGTTAGTCTAATCTAGGATACTTTTTTTATCTCAGAAACCGTGGTTTTTACCTCTAGATGTTTTAGATGAGCTGTGTATTATTTTCTATTTGTACTTAACATGATCATTCCTTTTTCCAAGATTCTTGACAATATGAAAGGCGATGATGATAACTTTAATGTTCTTATTTCTCAACTCCACAATATGTATCATGTCTAAGTCAATATTGATCATCCCTATGAGGGACATTCTCATTCCAACCATCACAGTCATCAATTAAGAAGTGTTTCTATTACACAAACTAGAAATTTAGAGTTATATCATGCTGCAAACTTTATGGCAGATTTGTTCCCCTTCACAATAATCTAGAATTCTGAGCTCTGGAAGGTCATATGAGAAACTGCAAGCCGGGCGTTGGTGGCACACGCCTTTAATCCCAGCACTCGGGAGGCAGAGGCAGGTGGATCTCTGTGAGTTCAAGGCCAGCCTGGTCTCCAGAACGAGTGCCAGGATAGGCTCCAAACTACAAAGAGAAAACCTTTCTCGAAAAACTCCCAAAAAAAGAAAGAAAGAAACTGCAAAATCTGGTTTAGTTGTCAACTTTGAAACATAAAAGTTGATAGACTATGTTCTACATAAGGACTCCCTTCAATACATTATATCTGCAGACAAGTGTAAATAAAAATTGATAAACAGCTTTCATTTATATTATCTTCTTATTAATCTAAGAAATAGACCAAGATTTTAATCTTCATTTTGTAGATGTAGAAACTGATTATCAAGAAGCAAATGGCTTATCCAAAATCATGCACAGTAATGAGTTAATAGAATCACTGTGGTAGTTTGTATGTACTTGGTCCCCATATTCCCAAAAGGAGTAGCACTATTAGGAGGTGTGGTTTTGTTGAAATAGGTGTGGCCTTGTTGGAGGAAGTATGTCACTTGTGGGGACAGCTTTGAGATCTCTTGTTCAAGCTTCGCTTGCTCTGTGTGACAGACTACTTCCTGTTGCCTTCAGGTCAAGAAGCAGCAGCTCCTTCTCCAGCATCATGCCTGCCTGGATGGCTTCCTGCATGTCTACATGCTATCCACCATGGTGATAATGAACTAAACCTCTGAAACTGTAAGCTACCACCTCAGTTAAATGTTTTCTTTTCTAAGAATTACCATGGCGGTGGTGTCTCTGCAAAGCAATAGAAATCCTAACCAAGACAATCATACTTTATCTATTGAATCCAAGACCTGTATTTTAAGATATATGGGATGATACTATGGCAAGTACTGTTAGTCATTTCTAATCATACCTTATTCCTAATCTCTTCTCTTGCTAAAAGAACCCAAATTTTGCTCATTTGTAGCCATCTCCTGAAAAGAATTGGTGGATGACCCTTTCCAGACTAAGAGTTAAACTAATGTAAGCCAATCATATTAATCCACTCCCCTTTCCAGTGACTTCAGCCTATAGATTGGACATGTGATGTATCTTAATCAAGGAAATATACGAGGAGCTTGCTGTGGAGCTGTATGAGGATATGAGGTTTGAAACAGCACAGATACTTTTACAAACACCAGAATAAATAAACAAGATGAGGAAGGCTGTGCAGAAATATAGAAAAGAAAAAAGCTGGATTTCTGATGACAGAGATGAACCCTATGACCAAAATCTAAGTTATTCCTTACCCCTGAATCTTTTACAACTGAATCCTAGAATTCTCGCCATCCCCAAACCTCTTATTATGTGGGACAGCAATTCCCCTATTGTCTATTTTTATCTGATTTTCTGTGACCACATATGAGGCCATTCATATTTAGTGCCAAACTGGTTATTTCTCAAATTATCAAATATAATTTTCATTGTAACTCCTACCAGTCAATATTGCTGCCATTTTTTTTAGAAGAGTCCTTAACACTTGAAAAATTCAGTTGCTTTCCAAAGTTTATGACGTTAGAAATTCTAGAATGAGGCTTCAACCCCACAGTGTCTGACTCCAGAGCCCAGGCATGTCACGAGATAAACTCTTGGAGACTCTTTCCCCAAGGCAATGACTCAACCTCATGGGATCCTAAACATCATTTTCTTGCCACCAGTTAGATGTGGCTATTGACAACATCTCAATTTCCTAAAAGTTAAGGGAGGGCTAATCATTTCCGAATCTGGGGAAAGGCTCTATAACAACAAAATGATTACAGAAAAATATGGGGTTAGTAGGTCCTCTGTCGTGGAGGCTTTAAAGGAAATGCAAGATGTGGCAATAACCTAGTGGGTAGCTTGGCAAAACAACCCATTCTTAATCAATGATGTTAAGGTTTCATATAGCTCACAGGTGTTTTTTGGTTTTTTTGTTTGTTTGGGATTTATTAGTTTGTTGTTTATTTGCCTTCATCTATGACTGCACGACAGAAGTGGGCATCAGGTGTTATTACAGATGGTTGTGAGCCACCATGTGGTTGCTGGGAATTGAACTCAAGACCTGTGGAAGAATAGCCTGTGCTCTTAACGTCTAAGCCATCTCTTTGAGCCCCTGAGTTCACAGGTTTTCTATGGAACAACTTTCTGTGCCCAACCTATCATCTGTCCCTCTTATTTCTTCATCTCTCAAAAAAGTGAAGGGGTGGATAGGGAAGCTCAAAACCTAACTAACTTTCAGCTACTCTGGGCAGAGACTTTCAAATGATTCAACATGGAAATTAGTATTTTGTACCTTGTCTTTGGGGAAGTTGTTTTCAGGTTTTTGTTTTTTCAGTCTGAAAATTCCAAGTTTGTTCTGTGCAACCATTTTGCCAAGCAGTCTCTCTATACAAAAATAAATATGTAATAGATACCATTTTTCTTGAAGACTTAACAACAACTTCCTTGATCAAACCCATGCGCACAAAAACTAGACAGAAAATAATTCAAGTGGAGTTATTTACCAGTAAAATTTCTGGGGACATTGGATACTCTTTAATAAGCCTGAGTCTTCGAAAACAATGGTTCTTTTTCTTGGGCTTTTAAAGAAATAACGAATAGGGAAATTTTTTAACATGTCTTAACCACTATTGTATTTCATTATAGTTGTTTTATAATAATCTAATTGTGTTCACTTTGTATCTGTAGAAACAGTAACAACATGGCCAAGGGACCCATTTAGCAGATTCCCAAAGCTCTAAAATATAGACAAGTCTGAGACTCCCTGGCTTCGTATCTTTACCTTCTGCCTGGATTTCAGAAAACATTCATTCCCTTCAGTGTTTACACCTCCTGATTTCTTCTTCATTTGCATTTTGGATTTCCAGGGTCTGAGGACACCTGCAAAAGAAGCAAAGTGATCAGTGGTGTTAAACAGAGCAGAGCTTTTAAAAAAAGGTTTGCCTCTCGACCATCTTCTGGGCACTTTATTAACTAAAGGAAAGTAGTTATCTGTTGCCCACTGGAGCCCCAATGCCCAGATATGATGCATGAATTCATCATATCTAGTTAGTGTCTGGAACATATTTTCTGTGTTTCGGGAGTCCCTCCCTGAAAATGAGTTTCTTCCTGCAGTGGGAAAAGGCATAATCTTTTTCTTTCTCTTTTACCTTCAATTCCCAGAGCACAATTTAATCTCAGTGAACTCAGTTCTGGGATCAGATGCCCGCTCTTTGAAGAACTATAGCTCTTTTATACACAAAGCAAGTTAATTCCTCTTATATATAAACACGTTTTAAGGCACACATGTAAGCCACACCCCCCATGGCATTGAAGTTTGCATTATTTCTTTATGTTATGTTTTCTTACTCCCAAATTAAATGTGAGATACATTTTATTTCAAAGAAATAACACCAAAAGATGGAAGCTGGCCATTTAAACCCAGGTGGTCAATGTAATTTGCTTTATTCATGATGGTACCTAGTATATGAGGAAAGACCAATAAAATTAAATATAAGGGATAATATTAAAAAGAGGTGACCATAGTGCTGCTTTATTTTATGTGATTTGGTGAAAATAACTTGAAAATGACACATTCAGGAAGAATTTTGGATGTGTGGGGTGTTTTAAATTTATGAATTTTATGAAATTCTCCCATTACAAACAGCCTCAGGGCACATGTACACACTGAAGAAAGAAAAACAAGAAATCGCCCTGAAGAGCAGTCCCATAAGAAGTTGGGGATCAAGCATGACGTTTTAGGATAAAAAATTGGTCTACAGATCATTAATTCTCATGAGTTTCCAAGCCAGAATTTAACTATTTCTGACTTGTCCTTCTAGCCACTAGAAAAACATAATTTTTAAAGACCAGTGAAGGAAAAAAGAAATGGAGATTTCTCCACCCAAACTCATAGTTGTGCCTTTGGTTTGCATGTAACCAGCCACATGAATCTCAACAGAGGGGCTGTACTGTTTCAAACAAGTACTTGCTTTCTTTAAAATATGTGAGCATTTTGACCCCCAAGTAAATTCATTTCACAGAAAATCTCCTCTTGATACAATCGCTCTATGAGACTCAGTGTTTATCTCACTTAGCGTCCCCTACTATATAGTTAGACAACATTATTTCTTCAAAAAGGCTTATAAGTATTTTAATCACAGGTACTTTTACAAGCCCAGTGTGAATACTGGGGCAAGTCAGGTATCTCCTGTACCCAAGACACACTGATGATTACAGTCTGGTATCTCCTTCATGTTTTCAAATACAAGCATGCAAAAAAAAGTTAAGTAAATTTCAAACTTTGAAAACTACAGAGCCTACTAGAGAGATTATGACTATGGGATTGCCTTTATGGCTTATAGTGTTCCTTCTAAAACAAGAAACAAAGGTTTGCCGAGAACTGGATGGAGGGACTCCTCACACTGGATTAAGGAGACTGTAACATGTGATATGCTAATGACACACAGTGCTAATGGAAGGTACAGAGTGAGCGGACTGCAGCAATCCAAGCACACATAATTGACCTGGAATGTGACTGTGGTTATTAGCATGAAATTCTCTGACGATGAGTAATTTCCACAGCGACACTCTTAAAGCTTACAGATGATTTCCCATTTTGAGGAGGTGAAGGGTAAAATACCTAAGACATTCCCCCACCCCCACCCCCAAAAAGGAACTGGGGTGTTTATATTGAGAAAAAAATTGTATAATTCGGGACTTCAGAAGCAGAAAATGACATTTTTTCCTCTATGAAATTCTTGTAGCACACAAAACACAAAATGATCTTATGAGTAAAAGTTCATGTTTTAAACTAAAACAATCTTTATGCAGATTTTGGATCTCTAATACACACATTTTGAGACAGAAATCTCTAGTAAAATATAACTTCGTGTTCTTCCACAAGCCTTCACACAGCTTCAAGATTGCTTCCTTAGGGTGAATGGAGCTGCTGTTTGATTAATATATTAAATTAAGGGTGAATTTTTGTTTTCTACACAAGGAAGGTGCTGCCTACAAACCCAAGAATAACTTTGGAATGTTACCTAAGAAAGAAACAAATTGTTTGTTTTCACACATATATAAAAATTCAAGCTAAAAGATATCAGACCCAATATACTTTAGGTAGCTACAGAAGGCAGCATACAGATAATAGCCTGAGGCTGGAAAAGTATTTAAGAGTTTTTTGAACAATGGACCCAAGAAGACATGCTGTTGAAAAATGTGGATTTACAAAGCAAGAGAGGACTCTTGTTATTTTATTCTTCCCAAATAATTCATCTCATTTTAAAGTCAGTTGTAAACACTGCCGTTCTAGGCCACAGACTGGAATTCAACTTTCACTATCAATCCCAGCAAACTACTCAATTTTCTAGGCTTCTTTTTGCTGTAAGATGTAGCATGCAGGATCTCCTTTGTGGGGTTGTGTGAGAATTAAACACCTACAGAGTACTTAGCAGCCCTCCTAGCGTGCAGAAGTATGGAAGCGCTCAAAGGGGCCTCTACATGTGAGAATTAAACACCTACAGAGTACTTAGCAGCCCTCCTAGCGTGCAGTAGTATGGAAGTGCTCAAAGGGGCCTCTATGATCGGAGTATATGCCCTCTCTCTGCCACTTGACTCAATAGTTTACAAATACACCTGCAGTATAGTACTGTCAAAGGAATACACAAGTAAGTCAGCGCAGAAGAAATAATAGAGCAGGAGAAAGGATGACATGCCAGTCAGAGACCAATCCACAAACTGTCTTGATTGATCTTTCTTGCATTCGTCCCACAAATATTTCATGAACGCTTACTGTGAACTGGTGAAGCTGTAGCTCAACCATGGGTACTCGTCCCACAAATATTTCATGAACGCTTACTGTGAACTGGTGAAGCTGTATCTCACAACCATGGAAGCTAAGATAAGTGGCCTTGCATGTGTGGGGCTCACTAGTCATGTAAATCAATTCCTCTAAGGCATGATTAAAATGGGGAGAATACATGTAAGATTGGGTGGACAAAGGCAAACGTGTGTACACATGAAGATTTTTTTTCACATGAAGATTTTATACGTTTCATTGGATGTGTCTCAGGATAGCATCCCAGGCCCAGGTTAGCCTCCACAGGTCATGATTAGATGCCTTGCATCATCCGTCCTGACACTGTGAGATCTGTGCCCAGTCATCTTCTACACTGCCATCTCTAGAATGTTGAGAAGCCTCTTAGAAGACACTCAAAGTGATTGCTGGGGTAGAGTAAGACATCTTTGGACATTTTGTTTTGAAATATGGGTTGATGTCTAGATGTCTCAGCCTGTGTGCCATGGTAAGTATGACTCAGTACCCTGTAGTGCCCAAATAGGCAGCAGAAGCTTCCTGGCCACCTCGGCTTAGCAGTAAACCCTGCCCTTTCTTACTACCTTCATGCACACGCAGCAGCTTGGGAAATCTGGCAGTTTACGTGGTCCAGATTAAACAGTTAAAGATAGTAAATCATCTGGTCTTAACTGAAGCATGTAACAAAGTGGACATATGAATTGAGAAGTGTATTACAGAGAAAGTAAGCCTTGAAGATAACACGAGTGACAGGACCGAGACTTGTCCTGTCCCCAGCACATGCTCTTCAGTATCTTATTGGTAAACACAAAGAACATATAATCAGACAAAGGGAAAACCAAACAAATTAGTCATTATGAAAACTCTTCAAATTATTTGTCTTTGTCTACACCCCGAGTGACCTTGCCAATGTAAGTAACATGTGCTAAGATACTGTCTAAAATCTCAGATATTATCTAATGACAGAGTTCTGTCATTATGATTAGCATGACATTCAAAACCAGTTCCTTAAGAACACAAAATCCTAGGCTCCAAAGCTACACAGAGAAACTCTGTCTCGAAAAACCAAAAAAAAAAAAAAAAAAAAAAAAAAAAAAAAAAAAAAAATTCAAGCTGATTCTTTTTCTTCAGCAGTTTTTGAACACTTCTGTCTAGCAGGGCTCGCCAAGATTCCTCTAGACTTAATGGAAAAGGTTCTGAAGCCACATTGGAGGTCTCTTGCGCAATAGTGAAAGATACACATGCAAAAAAGAATCTTTTGCTGGCACAAACAATTGCAGGATAAGATTACAGAGATATCATTGTACTTGAAACTCATACCAGAGCTATTGGCTATTGCAACAAAGAACTGAAGGCCAGGAATACACAATGTTTCTCAGGTCACTATCCAAGGAGCTAACCTTTCCAAAAGATAACACTTACAAAAAGAAATAAAGTTAAATTGAAAACAAAAAACACTTTATTTAAAGCATGACTAGAACAAGGAAAACACCTATCCACAAACTAATGTGGGGTGGAGGTGGAAAGCCCATGAGGTCTCAGCTCTACACAAAGAACTACAGGCAAACTAAGAAAAGGTGATAGTGGGAAAAATAGTCTTCCCCAGCACAGTGCACCAATTGGTTGTCAATACCAAAAGCTCAGCCCCAGAAATATACATACAAGTATCATGTGTACTGATCATACATTCAAATGAGATGAGGAGCATCTAAGATGATTTGGAGGGAGGAAGAAGAAGAGGGGTATGATGCAATTGCATTACAATTCCCAGAAATATATATAATATATATATATTAAATATAATATATAATATATATATTAAAGATAACACTTTTATTATAAGAAGGCTCATCAAATTATGTCATGAGATTGGAATAGCAATAAAATGTTTAGGTACTGAAGAACTTCCTTGGACATATTTTAACTAAATGATTTTTAAATTCTCCAAACTTAAAAAAAATTACAAATTTATCTTTTACACCAACAGCAGTGTTCCCAACTTTCCCCCCATCTGTGTTTCAATGGTGGTTAGTAGCTCTTGGGTCTATGTTACCCACCTGGTGTCTGTATTTCTCTTCCTGCCTACACATTCAAATTTCATCTAATTCTTCCAAAGAATGGTTATAATTTATCAGTAATTTAAATAGGGGATTGATCTCAGAAATTAACTCAAGCTTTAAATTTCACATATTTGAAAACAAAAGTTCAGAAATACTTCCCTTGATGTGTGACTAGCAGAAAGGAAAACTATACATCACTATAAAAATTCAGTTTTGGGCAACTGAATCTGGAAAAGAACTTTCTAGTCTCTTGAAATCATCCATATGGAAGTATTTTTAAGTCAGGTGCTAAAAGTTTTAAAATCTGATGTCATTTTGGCTTTGTTGTTGCTATTTTGAGACAGGATTTCATGTAATCCAGGCTGAACTCCAACTAGGCAAATAGCTAAGAGTGACCCTGAACTTCTGATGTTCCCTCCTCCTTCCCCACAGGTGCAGCTGACAGACACACATCACCATGCCCAGTGCATGCTATGCCGGGGATCACTTAGCTATATTCCTAACCCCTGGCCTGATTGTTCTGAAAAGAAAGCTAAATGACATCAGAGAATACAAAGACTTACCAGCCAAATTTCAGTTAAAATGTTGCATGACTGACGAGTGGATTTCTAGAGGTATCTCAGGGTGCACAAAGCACAACTGTGGGAATAGATTTTTTTTTTCACTCAAATTTATGATTCTTTGAAAAGTATTACTTTCAGCTATGAAATGGATTATTGCAGCTACCAAGTAAGCTGAACTTGACTTTCAAATGACTGCTTAAAATAAGGAAAGTGAGTGTTCCCCACTGCTCTTACACAAATATACCTCACAGTAAAGAGTAAGAATGAACTGTATTGCTACATCAAGGAGAACAAAGAAGCTACAATAATCCATAAATAGCAGTTTAATCTTTTTGCTTGTTTGTTCTGTGGCTAAACCAGGGTCTCAAATTTTACCACGAGGTTACATCCCAGCTCCGACCATCCAAGATTTATAAAGTATTACTTGTTTCTTCTTGGGAACATTCTAATACGCTTCATTTCCATTCTTCTGTGTGTTGTACAATGTAGAAAAATGTGTGTATAGGAGAGATTGGATCAGCTGTATCATTTGTAAATATATGTATATACAAGCAAGTATCGGGGAATGTGAGCAGTTAGCAATGCGGTTCTCAGGTAAAGTGAGGTGAGAGAGGCAGCTACACATAAGTGTGTCGTAAAATGAAACGTGGGAGAAGCCTGGGCCTGGCCCACTATGGTGCTTGCTTACAGGTGAAAATTTCACCCAAACTATTGATTCAGAATACCTGAGATGTGGCCCAGGATTTTGCATCTTAAGCACTTCTTCAGGCATTTTATCTACATGTCATGCTTGACAAGCTGAGCTCTCAAGTCAAGAAAATCATGCCACTGTCCAGGTCATGGTGCACACGCTCTGTCTCCAGAGACTACAGTATAGAAAGGATGCCTTCCCTGGGGCACTAAGTCCATTCCCCCTTCTTGCTCTTAGAAGCATCATTCCTGGACAACAAG